TATCCTTCTGGGACGCCTCTCTGGGATGGGCCTCATGGGCACGGTTCTGTCGTGGCTCCGGTCCTTCCTGGAGGGTCGATTCCAGATGGTGAAGCTGGGAGACGCCTGCTCAGACCCCTGGCCTTTGACCTGTAGGGTCCCGCAAGGCTCCATTCTGTCTCCCATGCTTTTTAACATCTACATGAAACCGCTGGGAGAGGTCATCCGGAGTTTTGGAGTTGGGTGCCATCTCTATGCAGATGACACACAACTCTACTACTCTTTTCCACCCAACTCCAAGGAGGCCTCTCGGGTGCTGGACGAGTGCCTGGCCGCTGTGTCTATCTGGATGAGGAGGAACAAGCTGAAGATCAATCCCGACAAGACAGAGGTCCTCCTGGTCGATCATAAACCAGACCGGGGTATTGGGTGGCAACCTGTGCTGGATGGGGTCACACTCCCCCTGAAGTCACAGGTCCGCAGTTTGGGTGTCCTCCTGGACACATCACTGTCGCTTGAAGTTCAGGCGTCAGTGCTGGCCAGGAGGGCCTTCGCACAATTAAGACTCGTGTGCCAACTGCGACCGTACCTCGCAAAGGCTGATCTGGCCGGAGTGGTCCATGCCTTGGTCACCTCTAGATTGGACTACTGTAATGCGCTCTACGTGGGGCTGCCCTTGAAAACGGCTCGGAAATTCCAACTGGTCCAATGGGCAGCAGCCAGGATGTTAACTGGTGCTCCTTAAATAGGAGGGTTGACCTCTCTCTGTAAGGGGCACCAGTTAACATCCTGGCTGCCGTCCGTCCCAAACCGTTTAGGGCTTTGTAGGTAAGCACCTGCACCTTGAATTGGGTTCGGTAGGTAAACGGCAGCCAGTGGAGCTCCTTGAACAAGAGGGTTGGCCTCTCTCTGAAGGGAGCACCAGTTAACATCCTGGCCGCCGCCTGTTGGACCAGTTGGAATTTCTGAGCCGTTTTCAAGGGCAGCCCCACATAGAGCGCATTACAGTAGTCCAATCTAGAGGTGACCAAGGCATGATCAGCCTTTACGAGGTACAGTCGCAGTTGGCGCACGAGTCTCAATTGTGCAAAAGCCCTCCCGGACACCGCCGATGCCTGAGCCTCAAGAGTAAGTGATGAGACCAGGAGGACACCCAAACTGGACTTGTGGCTTCAGGGGGAGTGTAACCCCGTCCAACACAGGTTGCCACCCTATACCCCGGTCAGGTTTACGAGCGACCAGGATGACCTCTGTCTTGTCGGGATTGATCTTCAGCTTGTTCCTCCTCATCCAGATAGACACAGCGGCCAGGCACTCGTCCAGGACCCGAGAGGCCTCCTTGGAATTGGGTGGAAATGAGTAGTAGAGTTGTGTGTCATCTGCGTAGAGGTGGCACCTAACTCCAAAACTCCGGATGGCCTCTCCCAGCGGTTTCATGTAGATGTTAAAAAGCATGGGAGACAGAATGGAGCCTTGCGGGACCCCACAGGTCAAAGGCCAGGGGTCCGAGCAGGAGTCTCCCAGCTTCACCATCTGGGATCGACCCTCCAGGAAGGACTCTTTAATTATACAAAATGCATAAGGTTGTGGGTGAACTATCACATCATACCAGGTTAGGCCCAAACAAACAAACTAGGGATTCTGTTAGTGTACCGACCACCCCGCTGCACTACAGTACTTATAGTTTGTTCTGTTGGGCAAGTTTGCCCTAGATCAGTGCTTCTCAACCTGTGGGTCTCCAGGTGTTTTGGCCTACAACTCCCAGAAATCCCAGCCAGTTTACCAGCTGTTAGGATTTCTGGGAGTTGAAGGCCAAAACATCTGGGGACCCACAGGTTGAGAACCACTGCCATAACAAAGGCATGCCCCCAAGGCCCATCCCGGAGAGTCGTCCCAGAAGGATACCATGATCGATGGTATCGAAAGCCGCTGAGATGTCCAAGAGAACCAACAGAGTCACACTCCCCCTGTCCAGCTCCCTACAGAGGTCATCCACCAAGGAGACCAAGGCCGTCTCGGTGCCGTGGCCAGGCCTGAAACCAGACTGTGACTGATCTAGGTAGTTGATGTCATCCAGAAAACTCTGGAGCTGAGAGGCAACCACTCGCTCCAGCACCTTGCCCAGAAAAGGGAGGTAGGAGATTGGTCTGAAGTTGTCCAGCACCGTGGAGTCAAGGGACACCTTTTTAAGGAGCGGACGAACCACCGCCTGTTTCAGTCGAGATGGAAAACCCCCCTGCTCCAATGATGCATTAATGATCAACACAAACCAAACCATTATTATTATATTTATATTAATATATTAATATAATAATATTAATATAATATTAATCCCACAAACAAACATTGCATTTTTATTTATATAGATTCATTCATTTATTTAAAAAAGAGCTTTGGGTCTCAGCTTCCCAACGCTGATTTTTATCACATTGCATACATATCCATATATATAACATTTCACATTTTATCTTACGCACATTGCAAAATTCAGTAGGACTGCATATTAGGGGGGGAAAAAGAGATTGTTTGGAAGGCACTTGTGCATGAAAAAAAAACCTATTAATTTTATTTGGGGAAAGAAGAGAGTCTTTGTATCTTTGCTGGGAAACAACCCAAAAATAAAACTCCAGAAAAAATAAAAAGAAAATATATCCAGTACGGAAAATAAGGATAAAGATTCCAAGTCTTATGACCATCCGCCTTGTGTGTTTATCTGGACTCAGTTCCAAAAAATATTTTTGGCTGGATTTTGTTTCTCTATCGGAGCAGAAACGTACAAATATCTTGGTTCAAATAATTGGGATGCTTATCCTGTGACGCTGTTTTGTTTCTTTCCCAACACAAAGTAAAACACAAAACATATGTTGGAAGCAGGGGCGGCGAACCCATTACGCAAAGTAAGCCTTTGCGGTATAGTTCATTTTGCCCAGGGGTGCTCTTGATGCGCTCTTGGAGGGAAATAGACCTTGACATATGCGAGTTGTAGTTACTGGGATGTATAGTCAGAGGCAGCCCTATGTAATTTTCAACGGTAAGCAAACAGTATTTTGCCCCCCCCCCAAATCACTGATATATATTTTCTGTTTGTCATGGGAGTTCTGTGTGCCATATTTGGTTCAATTCCATCATTGGTGGAGTTCAGAATGCTCTTTGATTGTAGGTGAACTATACATCCCATTAACTACACTTGCCGCACTTGCTCCCTTGCCTGGCCCGCTTTGGGTCCGGAGGCGTGCCTGAAGACCCCGGCGTGTGCACCAAAAGTCACCTCTTCTCCTGACTTTCTCCTCAGCCATTGGGACCGAGAGAGAGAGAGAGAGAGGTGGAGATGCCCACCTTTCCTGAAGGTAGGCGCAAAAACAAAAGAAGGAGCGGAGGGACTCCAGCCGGAGGGACTCTCTCTCTCTCTCTCTTGGTCCCAATGGCTGAAGAGAAAGTCAGGAGAAGAGGCGACTTTTGGTGTGCACGCTGGGGTCTTCAGACACGCCTCCGGACCCGAAGTGGGCCAGGCGCGGCGGCTCCGCCCCTTTGCCCACCCGCGGATTTGGGAGAGGAGGCGGGTGGAGCGCCAGGGGATCAAGAAAGGGAGCCGGTCATGGGGAAGGGATTGAACGCGGAGAACGATTGAGTGCCGGCTCTGCTCGCACACCCGGTGGCCGGGTGGAGCAGGAACGAGAGGGGCGAGGTGAGGCTCAAGGGCCCGGCCCCTTTGGGAAGAGGATCGCCCGGCAGCGAGGCAAGAAAGCCGAGGCTCCCCCCGGACTGCTAGGGCTGTTGTGAGCTGAGGGGGCGCTCCTCAAGTGGCGGTCGAGGGGCATTTACAGAGGCGCCACTGCGCCCCTGGCAAAAAAAAAGTGTTCTGCGACCGCTTACTTCGCGTAATGGACGAACTGCTCCTGTGTATAGTTCACCTACAATCAAAGAGCATTCTGAACTCCACCAATGATGGGATTGTACCAAATATGGCACACAGAACTCCCACAACAAACAGAAAATATATATCAGTGATTGGATTTTTTTTGGGGGGGGGTGCCAAAATACTCTTTGCTTACCATTGAAAATTACCTAGGGCTGCCTCTGGTTGAAAGGCAGTACTCGTAAAGTACCATATAGTTTTCTCACTTTCGAGGCACAAAACGGCAGAAAAGGCTCACATAGCGCCAAAATAGAGTGGAAAACGAGTACAGTATTGACTCAAATCTAATGCTCAATGACCGCTCCAAAATAAAGGCACATATTAGGTTTGCGTCATACAGTCATCCTGGGATTTGTAGTTTGGTGTGGCATCCACCTCCTTTGGCAGAGAAAGCTCAAGACCTTGTGAAACTACCCCTCCCATGATTCCATAGCATTGAGGAAAAACAACTGAAGTTATTTCATTCTACAGCATCACCGGACACTTTGGTTCTCGAACAATTGAGAATCGACGGCGCGTGAGACTCGAGTCAATACGGGTCTGTTCTTCACCCATTCGGTTTTAGAATCGACGACGCATTAGACTCGAGTCAATCTGGGTCTGCTGTTCACCCATTTGGATTTAGAATTGACGGCGCACTAGACTTGAGTCAAAATGGGTCTCTTGTTCACCCGTTTGGTTTTGAATCGATGACACACAAGTCTCAGATCAATACGGGTCTATTGTTTGCCCGATCGGTTTTAGAATCGACGGCGCACTAGACTTGAGTCAATATGGACCTGCTGTTTGCCCATTCAGTTTTAGACTCAACAGCGCACTAGACTTGAGTCAATCTGGGTCTGCTGTTTGCCCATTCAGTTTTAGAATCGACGGCGCACAAGTCTCAAATCAATACAGATCTATTCTTCACCGGTTCGGGTTTAGAATCAACAGTGGACGAGACTCGAATCCAAACTGGTCTGTTCTTCACCCGTTCAGTTTTAGAATCAAGTCCATACGGGTCTATTTTTCGCCCATTCAGTTTAAGGATCGACGGCGCACGAGTTTCGAGTCCATACGGGTCTCTCGTCCATCCGTTGTGTTTTTTGTACCTCGAAATTCGCCTTAGTCTCTCCAACAAGTATTTAATAGTGTTTCAGAGAATCCCCCCAGCATGGCGCTCTCTTACGACTCTCTCTGGCCTTGCGGGGTTTTGTCAGAAACCTCCTCATACTGCGGAGGTGGCGTCAGAGGCTCGATCGAGACCCGGTTCACGCGGTTTCCTTCGGGGAGGTTCACGCGGAGGTCTTTCAGGTGCAGTTTCTCAGACTTGATCCGCCGCACCTTCAAGGGTTTCAGTCTCTTAGCCAGGCGGGAACTGTGCCTGGCGGGTTGGCGCTCGAGGCCAGGGTGGCCCTCGGCGGCGGGAGCAACTGGCCTCGTCGGGGTGTCCTCGTCGATCCCGGTGAGCGACTCGTACGACGGGAGCGACATGCTCAACTGAGTGCCGCCGCTGCCACCCGCTCCTGTCCGCGTGGGATAGTTGGCGTTCACCACCTCTTCGTAACTTGGGACGTAGTACCGCGAGAGGGTCTCGTCGTCCTCTTCTTGGCTGGAAAGGGAGAAGTTTGTGAGAAACGTTCAATTGCATTTCCTAACCTTAGAAATCTATTCTTCTCCAAACTATGGGATGCAATCCGCATATGGCCCTCAAAGATCTTTTCTCCGCCCTACACTTCAGTCCGAACCTTAGAACCTATTTTTCTAAAACTATGGCCTTTGGTCCACGTATAGCCTTGAAAACATACATAAATTCCTTCCTTTCTTTCCTTCCTTCTTTGCGTTTCCTCCCTCCCTTCTTTCTGCTCTCCTTTCTCCCTTCTCCAGCTCTGAGAGGCCTACACTGAAATGTTTTCATTGCGCGGTGCGCGTGTGTGGTGTCTCTCCCTCCCTCCCTCCCTTCCTTCCTTTTCTTCCTTCCTTCCTTCCCATCCTCCCTCCCTCCCTTCTTTTCTCATCACTTTCTCCCTTCTCCAGCTCGGAGAAGGCTTACTTACCAGGTTCCTAAAGCAAGATGGCTGTCTTTGAGGCTATTTCCATTCTTCCTTCCTTCCCTTCCCTCCCTCCCCTCCCTCCCTCCCTCCCTTCCCTCCTTCCTTTCCTTTCCTCCCTTTCCTTCTTCACTTCTTTCCCCTGCCCTTTCTTCCTTCTCCAGCTCTGAGACGGCATTTATTTATTTACTGTGCTTATATACCGCAATTCTCAGCCCTTTAGGGCGACTCATTTCTCACCATGTTTCTAAAGCAAGATGGTTATCTTTGAGGCTCTTTCCTTCTTCCTCCCCTTCCTTCCTTCCTTCCTTCCTTTCTTCCTTCTTTCCTTTCCTCCATTCCCTCCCTTCTTTCCCCTCCTCTTTCTCCCTTCTCCAGCTCTGAGAGGGTCTATCTCACCACGTTCCTAAAGCAAGATGGTTGTCTTTGAGGCTCCTTTCCTTTCCTTACACCTCCCCTTTCCTTCCTTCCTCCATTCTTTCCCCTCCCCTTTCTCCCTTCTCCAGCTCTGAGAGGGTCTATCTCACCACGTTCCTAAAGCAAGATGGTTGTCTTTGAGGCTCTTTCCTTTTTTCCTTCCTCCCTCCCTTCCCTTCCCCTTCCTTCTTTCCTTTCCTTTCCTTTCCTTCCTTCCTCCCCTTTCTCCCTTCTCCAGCTCTGAGAGGGTCTATCTCACCACGTTCCTAAAGCAAGATGGTTGTCTTTGAGACTCTTTCCTTTCCTTTCCTTCCTTCCCTTTCCTCCCTCCCTCTTTCCCTCCCTCCCTTCTTTCCCCTCCCCTTTCTCCCTTCTCCAGCTCTGAGAGGGCCTTTCTCACCACGTCTCCAAAGCAAGATGGCTCTCTTTGAGGCTCCTTCCTTCCCTCATTCCTCTTCCTTCCTTTCCTCCCTCCCTCCCCCTCGTACTCATCACCTTTCTTTCCCCAGTGTCCCCACAGAAGGCCACTTCACCTGTCCTCCGGCTGCGGTGAGGGTGAGGGCGGTTCCCTGTCGACGTGATGCCGTATCCTGGACCCTTCCTCGTCCTGCCGCTGCTTGCGCTTGTCCCGGATGCTGAGGCAGAGGGCGAGGAGGAGGAGGGAGACACCGGCCCCCACCAGGACGTAGGCCACGGAGAAGGTCTTGCTCTTCTCCTCCTTCCCGGCGCCAGGGTCCGTCTTGCTGTTGTTCCCCACCGAGTGGGGCTTGGAGGCTAGTCCGAACCCGGGGACCAGGTTCCACACCGCCATGATGACCCCCAGGACCAGCAACCCCAGCCCGAGGGCCGTCAGCGCGTAGTGCGACCCGCGGGACTGGGAGTGGGACATCCCACCGGATCCGTGCCGCTCATCGATGGAGGAGAACGTCCCAAGGAAGAAGACCTAGAGGAAGGAAGGAAGCGGAGAGGATGTCAACATCACATTATCGGAAAGGAGTACCTAAGGCAGTGATGGGCAACCTTTTGAGCGTGGTGTGTTGGCCATTTGGTCTCTCATTCCTCTGACTTTTCTGAACCCAGTTTGTCCACCTGGCCAACTCTCTTAGCCTTTCGGTTATCTATCTATTCCTAGAGAGCCCTCAACCCCTGAGGGTGCCTTTAGCCATAGATGTGGGTGGAATTTGAGGTGAAGGAGAGGTGGAAGGAAGGGGTAGATAGGTGGGTGCATGTCAGTAGAAATGGCTACGCGTGTCAGTACTGACACGCGTGTCATAGGTTCACCATCATGGACCTAAGGCGTATTCCTCAGTGACCCGAAGGAACATTACGAGCACTGGGCAGCCAAGAGGATTATTGGGATGCCTTGAATGCACCACTTCCGAGCGATGCTGTGGGCACGGACGGCTGCCAAGTGAACATTTCAATGGGTGCCAATTAGCTATTAATGGACATTAACAGCACAACGCAACACCGTTTCTTGTTCCTGGGTGAGCAATGTCGTTTCCTAATGGGTTCTATCATCACAACATGCGGGACTTCCTGCAGCACATTTTTAATAATAATATTAATGGATTCAATCATCACAACATGCGGGACTTCCTGCAGCACATTTTTAATAATAATAATAATAATAATAATAATAATAATAATAGTAATGCAATGTTGTTTCCTAATGGGTTCAATCATCACAACGTGCGGGACTTCCTGCAGCACATTTCTAATAATAATATTAATGGGTTCTATCATCAAAACATGTGGGACTTCCCGCTGCACATTTTTAATAATAATAATAATAATGCAATGTCATTTCCTAATGAGTTCAATCATCACAACATGCGAGACTTCCTGCAGCACATTTTTTAAGAATAATATTAATGGGTTCAATCATCACAACATGCGGGACTTCCTGCAGCACATCTTTAATAATAATAATAATAATAATAATAATAATAATAATAATAATAATGCATTGTTGTTTCCTAATGGGTTCTATCATCACAACATGTGGGACTTCCTGCAGCACATTTTTAATAATAATATTAATGGGTTCAATCATCACAATATGCAGAACATCCTGCAAGCACATATTTAATAATAATAATAATAATAAGGCAATGTCGTTTCCTAATGGGTTCATTCATCACAACATGCGGGACTTCCTGCTGCACAATTTTAATAATAATATTAATGGGTTCAATCATCACAACATGCGGGACTTCCTGCAGCACATTTTTAATAATAATAATAAT